AACTGTGGACACAAAACATTTTCTTCTATGTGTTGAATGATGAATTAAGAATCGACATCACAGCACTCTGGACACTCCCATAAGCGCTCCGTCCCCATCTTTAGCCTCAAGCTAAGAGTTAAAATTCCGATTGTACCAGTAACTGTCTGATTGTATATCCATCTCGCCTTTCTCTTGAGTGTCGAGCGTTGTCCAGATCCCCTTGTAACTCCTCGCAGTGCCATTTTCCTCAGACCGTAATGATCTATCTGTTCCTCGGCATTGTTTATTCGCTGACAAAATCCAGCTTGTCATAATCAGTTCACCACCAAGTGGTGCAGAACCGGCCAGTCCATCTGCATGCTCATTTCCCAACACACCGTCATCCCCTTGGAGCAAATATCCAAAGCTTGTTACCTACCCAGGACCTTCGAAGTGAGGCTTGCCACTCTGCACGTAGCATGTCTGTCTCCATCTTTCTCAACATGCTCTGTGAGTCAGTTACAATGTCGGCATGTGTGTACAGCTGATTTTCAAGCCAGCGGAAGGAAGCAGTGACTGCCTTTACCTCCATTCTAAAACTAGACGTTGCAAAATCATGTGCCAGGCTTCTATATATATATATATATATATATATATATATATATAATGTAATGAGTATGATCCGGAGGGTTCAGGCAGGTTCAGTGCGAAGACAATGGCTTGAATCAATTCAGAAGTCCACTGTGCGAGGAGTCACCTTTATTTTTGTTCCGGGACACGCAGGCGTCGATGGAAATGAAAGAGCTGACAGGTTGGCTGGATCCGCTATCACTACCGACGGTCGGCCTATGGATCATGCTGATATTATCAATGCCCTCAGAGAAATGGGAAGGATAGAGGACTTTGGTGGCAGTGAATCCACATCACTCGCCAGAATGGCAGACTTGGGAATTAAGATCGGCACAGCAAAAAACGAGACGCACACCGGACACGTCAGAAGACTTGTTAATCAACATAGAACTGGTACTATTAGCCATCGGACGTTGGGATTCATACTGAGGGGAGGATCTGAGCACCTATGGACATGTCCGGAGTGCAATGATGATAACCCAACTAACTAACTAACTAACAAATATATATTTGTATAACTTTCTATCTCTGTCTTTCTGAATTGCTGCCACCGTGTATGTATGTCTTTGTGTTTCTCTGACTGTCTGTCTGTCTGTCTGTCTGTCTCTTTCTCTCCACTCAGTGCCTATCCATCGCTATATCTTTCTGTCTCGTTGTCTATCTATCCTTTGCTTCTCTGTCTCATTATCTGTCTGTCTCTCTGTCTGTTTTTCCCTTGTATTTCTGCATAACTGTTTTTGTTTCTCTGCGTGCCTCTGTCTTCGTGTTTTCTTACTTTTCATTTTTTTTCCTGTCTATCTGCCTTTCAGTCATTCTATTTCGATCTTTCTGCTTCAAAGTTTTCTATCTCCTTGTCATACTGTCTTTCTCTCTATCTAACTCTTTGTCTTTCTGTCTGTCTGTCTTTCTTGTTGCCTATGTATCAGCCATGACTCTGGTTTCTGTGTAAAGATCAAGTGAAAGAACATAACAGAATACATGTAGAGAACCACACAACTCAGGGGACCGTGTTTTCGGTTGGGGGATTGCTGTTTATTGATTTATCATCTGCTGATGTTTTCATGTTGATACTGTTTTTTTTTTTTTTTGTTATTTCCACGGACACGGTGGTAATGCAGATCTTTTTGGGGTCATGATTCTTCGTCTTTTTATTTTCTTCTTTGTTTCTTCTTCTTCTTCTTCTTCTTCTTCTTCTTCTTCTTCTTCTTCTTCTTCTTCTTCTTCTTCTTCTTCTTCTTCTTCTTCTTCTTCTTCTTCTTCTTCTTCTTCTTCTTCTTCTTCTTCTTCTTTTTCTTCTTCTTCTTCTTCTTCTTCTTCTTCTTCTTCTTCTTCTTCTTCTTCTTCTTCTTCTTCTTCTTCTTCTTCTTCTTCTTCTTCTTCTTCTTCTTCTTCTTCTTCTTCTTCTTCTTCTTCTTCTTCTTCTTCTTCTTCTTCTTCTTCTTCTTCTTCTTCTTCTTCTTCTTCTTCTTCTTCTTCTTCTTCTTCTTCTTTTTCAACAAGACTGTCAAGCGTCTTCTCTCGTTGTCTTCCTCTGTCCCTCCTCCCACAGATCTTTCTAGTGGCCACAACATGTTCTATTTTCCCTCTTCTCATAACAGGTCTTCATATGTAAGAATATTTCAAATGATGATGGTCGTCTTCAAACGTAATGTCATGATATGACGTATTTTCCTCCTGAAAAACCAAAACCTTGTTCATAAATGACAAAATGTTATGCAGTTATTTCTCTGAAAGAAGTATGTTAAAATTGTCAGTAGAGAACTCAGAGAAACCCTAATAAACAACCATCTTTTATATTTATGTTTCGTAACTTCCTGTTTGTCACGAGGTTTTTTGTGTGTGAACCGCACTTCATATTTTTTTTGTACTCGTCTGAAAAAAAAATATCGTCTAAGCTTTTTATGTTATAATTTGTTTAGGGTTGTTGTTGCTGTAATGTTGCGTAATGAAACTCTACACGAACCCTATCTGTGTCAGACAATGGTTGTACAAGCTCACATCATTGTATTTGTTAATAAATCATGATATATGAAAGGGAATCTTGGACAGTTAGCCGATCAGTTAGAGATTATGTGGATGCAGCAGAGATGTAGTTTTTATAAATGAATGTTGAGAAGGCCATAGACAGATACAAAGATTAATGAAAATATCTTGAAGGAAACTGACTCAGGAAGGGAACTGATTACCCACAGTTAGAAGGAGACAGTCTACATTCTATAGTCACATCAAGAGAACCAGGAAACTGTAGTACCTTGTAACACTAGGAGGTCAGTTCCACGATAATCTCCCCACCGAAACTAGGTCACTTTCTATTCATACATTTTTTAGACTATTCTACAGTCTGGGGGGGGGGGGGGTGGGGGGGGGGGGGGGGGGGGGGGGGGGGGGGGGGTTAGGAGGAGTGGCCGTTATGTTGTTTCCTTCCTGGCTTGTCTTGCATTTAAGTTTTTTCTTACCGGAAAGAGAATGCCTGTGACATAGGTTGCAGCACTCTGTATGCTAGACAATGTGTTAGACTCAGTTTGTAAATGTTTTTGTAGTGTTAAAAGCGCTGGCGTGCTTAATTATTCAACACACGATATCAAAGGCATTGCCGAACCCCTCCCCCCCCCCCCCACAACAGTGTGCGAAGGTCGGGTGACTGAAGGTCGACCAATCAGAAGGGAGCTAGTGTGTAACATGGGGAGATTATCGTGGAACTGACCCACTAGGATAGTAGAAGTGGCGGGGAGGAAGGATGCAGACGGAAACCGCGAAGGAAGATGTTGGATAGTTTAACATCATGATATAGAAGATCATCTGTGTCAACAAATGATTGAAAGCACTGGAGACCTAAGGTTGTGGTTAAACATGACGGGCCGTGAACATGACCACCAACAGCACGTGATATGAAAGATCATTTGTGTCAGAAATGATTGAACGTACTCGAGACCTAAGATTGTGGATACACAGGACTATCAACACCACAAGGTATGGAAGATCATCTGTGCCAGAAATGACTGAAAGTACCCGTGACAGAATGTTGGGGATAGACATAACTACCCACTCCACAAGGTACGGTAGGCTGTCTGTGTCACAAATGATTGAGCGTACGCCACACAAAAGGTTGTGAATAGACATGACCACCATATTCAGCGGTTTCAGAATAAACACTCTACGTAATTCTGTAGGCAAGGCGCTGGAGAACATTCACCCTGTATACCCAATAAGCCTGAAGGCCTGGAAAAGTGTCCTGTTTGTCTATTTTCTATTTTACAAACAAAAAAAAAAAAAAATTCTGTCTGTTTTTCTCCCTCGTTTTTCTTTTCTGTCTTTCTCTTTTCCTTCTTTCTTTTTTTTTTCTTTTCTTTTATATATATATATATATATATATTTTATTTGCTTACTTTCTGTCATTCTTTCCTCATTTCATTGTATAGCTTTCTTTCTTTGCTTTCTGTTACTTTTTTTTCTGTTTGTCTTTTTTTTTAAATTTTTGTCTGGCTCCTGTTTCTATTTTCTTTCAGTTTTTTTTCTTTGTTTTTATTTCTGTTCTGTCTTTTATTCTCATTTTGTGTGTGTGTGTGGGGGGGGGGGGGGAGGGGTCTGTTTATGTTGGCTTCTTTATGAAGTCCCTTCTTTCAGCAGTTTTAAATATTTATTTTGCGACTTTTAGTTTTCCTAATGTTTTTGTTCCTATTTAAAGACAAAACAATGTCATATCATTTCTTCCACAGAAAGGCGAAACTGCTCACAAGAACAACAATATCTCAAGTAACACAAGTCCTGGTACATCTAGGACACTACCTAGAATAAGACGATCCTTGCAAGTCTAGGACACTAGCACAGTTTATGAGAGACATTTAAGGACCAGGACATCCCCTCAAGGAAGGACAGTCTATGTCAGTCTAGGACACTAGAATAGTTTAGGAGAGACGTTTAAGGACCCATTGCCTCAAGGAAGGACATTCTATGTCAGTCTAGGAAAACTTCTCATATCAAACTACCCAAGCTAGTCTAGGATACAAATAAGTCTGACTCTTGGCATTCAGTGTAGGTTAGACCATCAGGTGGGTTGCTTTTAACAACTCGCATGTCAGCTGCAGGTCCTTCATGGTTCCCCACAGCTTGCTCTGTACACTATGCTCTTGGAGTCAGGTTTATCTTTGTAGCTGTAAAGTATAGTGAGCATGCTTGCAGAATGTGCTCCGGTATTTGTTCTCCCATCTGACAAGCGCACAGTGTGGACTGAGAAGTCTTTATTTTATGCATGTGATAGTTAAGCCTGAAGGGACACCAGTTCAGTTAAGAAAGGTCATTTCAGAACTAAGACATCGCCATAAGAAAGGACATGTCATAACAGTCTTGGACACTAGCTCAAGTAAGAAAAGCCATCCCATTACCAGGTTACCTCATTAAACTCAGTTATCATGGCAAGTCTGGGGTACCATGTGAAGAACCTGGCGTCTCTAACAGCATTTACTGTCGCTATTTCCTCTTGTTTCTTGCTGGTCGTCGTCTATTACATGTGCTCATTCGGTGGCACCTACCAACGGTCGCTATACCGTCATGAGAACCAACTTGGTAATCACGTTCCCAGGATATTCAAGCGAACAGCCGATCCGCACAACCAATTTCATTATTACAAAAATTGTATCCCCGCATCTCCGTCCCCAGAAGACATTCATAAACTGTGCTCAAATCAGGAGTGTGCTACGGTTCACTGCATCCGTTCGTGCCGCTGCGGGGACAACGGTTGCAATGTTTCTTCGAGGACGACATGTTTCACGAGAGCATGCTCCCAATTTCGAGTGAAGATCGGTCAAGCAGAAAACGAGGTTTCACTTGAGCGCTTCTCAGATGTTCTCAACGATTATCTGTCTAGATTACAAGATATAAAAGACATTGAAGTATCGTGTTCTGATAATAGTTCCCACCTACTTGACAGAAAACTCGACTTGGAGATAAATAGAAACGATTTGGACTCTTGCACTTTGGACGAGGTCGTGGAGTCAAAACATATAAAGCCCACTGGAGAAATCCATCAACCAAATCGGTCAAAACCAGACGTGTATCTTATTTATTTTCGTCTGATGTCGAAATGGGAAAGTCTCATCAAATTACCTAGGTTGAATTCCTTAATCGAGCATAAAAGAAAGGACATGTTTTGGAATCTGTATTCTTTTGACAACATTCAAAGTGACAGTTTTCTGCTGGATAAAAACTTACGAAGTGTCCTGGGTGTGTCAGGGGTTTCCTCTAGTGCCAAGACTATGTCTCTAGAAGAAGTCGATCTGCTGGAACTGGCCATGAAAGACGGGAAGTGTGTGTTTTTTCATACACTAACTTGTCATAAATCGGGGATTTACCGCAAAATACAAGAAATCCTGCAAGCAAACAACGATAACAAGTGTCTCCGGCATGAGAACCAACATTATCATGCAATACCTGACGTTGACTACTACAATCACACGTTTTGTGAGGACAGCAACACGGACCCGGATATGGAAGACATATTGCATATGCACTACCGAATTGGCCAGATTTATCCCACCACTAAAGCTAACTCGTTTTCGGTGTTTGTTGTCAATATTCCAGACCTAAAATCCATCGACGCCTTTGATACGAACATCTCTGGAATGGTGACGCAAGTGTTGTCCCTGACATCAAACATTCTCATACTAATGAGCGACGTGGGCGATCCGAAATATTCTAGATTCGACGAAAGCGTTTTCCTACGAACTCAAGTGTTTAACCCATTACTTCACGTTTTCATATCCGCTAGGACTGCACTCGAAGACCCTAATCTGTCTCTACTGAGTTCTGAGCTTAGCATAAAGTCCCCTAAAGCTGCCCTCGGCATTTCCTTCGTCCACATCATGCTACATACAATCATAACTGACAAAGAAGCCAATAAGTCTACCAAAAATCTGGAAAAGTTTCTAACCAGTAACGAAAGTTCCGGGAACTTGGGGAAGGACGGAACAGTGAATATGATGTGTCCACTGCGGAAGGTTATCGGCCCTGTTGAATGTGTGTGTGAAGGAAGACATGTTCGATTCCCAAATGACAGCACACAAGTAGCCTTTGCCAACTTCGTCGTTGGCAGTGTTAATAACAAGCTACTGGGGTTGTCTTCCTTGAATAATGTAAGAATAGACCGAGGATATTTCGAGGGTAACAATCCCCGAGTGAGACATTTACACAGAAATCGATTTACCTGTGATAGGCTACATGGCGTATGCGTTACTAACATCAACCACGTGTTGTGGGAAAGATCAACTTTCATTATATTGACGCTTTATTTAAGACCGGCTTCCAGACTCTATTCCCCAGCAATACGCCTCAAGGTTGAAGTTGAGTACTCAACAGGTGACACCTACAACACCAACTTCACAGTCAACATCTTGCACCCAACAAAGATCGCGTTGGATGACCTCACCAATTCCTCCAGCAAAAACCTGAGAACATTGCTCCACCTTCTGTGCCAAGAACCTAGCGATATCACCCGGGAGAACCCAACTGACGGCCAGTTTCTCCACACGATTTCCACAGAAGTCAGTTTCGGTGTCAAAGCAAAGACGAAGCCACTGCACTACCCCTGTCTGTATTTGCTGACTCGGAGTCACGGCGACAGCGCTGGTTTGGAGGTCGCAAATGTGTGTGCTGACCGGATCTATAACGTGACGGTCAGTATTGATTATGTCAATATACTGTCCCTGGTTGCTGTCCCCAAGGTAATCGTAGTTGGAGCTAGAGAAGTAAAGTTTATAACAACATTGGTGAAGAATGGATACTGGGTGGCTGTGTCCGGTTACAAAGTGCACGCATCTTACGTTGTCAGTATGATGTAGACTAGAGTTTTTCAGAGGAGACAGGAAAGAAGGAAAGTGGGGTGCCTGTGAGTTGTGAATGAGAGGTCATGTTTAACTGTGATCACTCAATTAAATGACTCAGTAAAATAAATATATATCTGTCATGGCTGAGAGACATGGGAGTACAACCTGTAACTGCAAGAAATGAACATTTCTCTAAGGGGAAAAGACATGTGATTAATTAACACAGCGTCATCAGTCTCTTTACGCTTGTGGAGCTGTTGCGGAGCACCTATGGATATGTCTGAAAGCTGTGATAATAATGCTCACTCAACACTAAGCACTCAATTAAGCCTATTTATCACATTGGACATTCAGTTGTTGGCACCTTACTCTCTTTCCAGAAGACTGGGTTATATTGTATATTTTTCTTGTGTGTGTGATACGTGAACCACTGCCCACGGCGATATTTAGTGTGAGTATTAAAACAGAGACAGGGAGAAGATGTCACCTTTACTACGTTATAAAGATGTATGCAAGCGGGACATGAATGATACAGGTATTAAAGCGGACTCAAAATGCCATGGACCGTGTTGTATGGAAAGGGCATATCAGGAAGGGAATGAGAGCTGAGCGTCTGAAAAGAAACGGATTAAACACAAATATTGACAACAATGGTCCTGAAATTCCATGCTATCATTGTGGAAGACTTTTCTTGACACAGGCGTATCTTGCTAGTCATACTCGTCATCGCCATGGGCTGTGAGTGTCATGCCTCCTCATAGCGCAATATAACACCATCGTCTGAAAAATACGGAAAGGTGCCAATGAAGAGTAAAACAGAGTCTAGTCAGGAAAAGTCTTCCACAAATAAAGTGTGGGATTTCAGGACCATTGTTACCATCACGAGTATTTAATGTACTTTCCTCTCAAGCGCTCGGCTCATCTTCATCACTTTTTCCTCTGCCACTTCAGGTGCCGAGGGAGATATCAGGTTTTGCTTCTTGCTCTTCAAGCCGCCTCCACTATAGACATATTTTCTCTTATGCTATCTATCCATATTGTTCTTTGTTAACTTCATCTATGTCCCCTGTTAGCGTATGCCTTGTTATAGTAATGCAAGGCCTTCTCTCTAAATAGGCAAACTATTTGATTTGATGTCTTTGCATGTAATTTAGAACTGGTCCTGGGCCAATGTTTTTTATGATCTCATTCCTGACTGTATCTCTTCTGGTCTCTTCTGCAGCTCAGCGCTTAACCTATTTAATATTAGTCTCTCCTTTATCCATTTTTCTTTCCTGGTTGTTTTCCCCTCCGTGCAACACGATCAATTGCATCATATTCGAACGAATCCATCTGAATACCTGAATAATTTATGTCCCACTTGCACATTTTATATCGTCTTGGTGCATTGTTTTATAAAGGTAGCGATTTTGTCCTAGCTACAAGCATCTATAGAAGTGCGCGGTCTGTGTTGGGTCAACACATTATTGACTGGGGACTGCCCAGCTTGAGCCAAGCGGCAGCTGACCATTGACATTTGCAACTGTCTCCATCCTCAGAGGCAGTCTGTGGCGCACTCTCTACGCCAATCGACTAGGACTTATACCCGTAACTGCTGCCTTTCGATTTGTTTCCAAGATCAGTTAAGGCCTCTCTCTCACCCGAAAAAAAAAAACAAAAACAAATGAGCAATCAAGCATGGCGAAGAACGTGTAAGCCTCCTCCCGGGCTGAGATGGAAGAAATTAACATCAGCTCCTCATGAGAAAAATCAGTAGAGGTACCCTGAAGAAGTTGCTGCATCGCAGGACTGAGCATGTATATGGTATTGTAGAGACCAAGTGTTGCCCAATGACATATAATGGTATAATTAATCCTGATGATATAGAAAGATTCTCAGAATATCTTGGACAGAGAAGATGAGAAATATTGACATCTTGAAAGATCTGAACATCAAGGAAGATTGGCTAATAAACAACACCCTTTCTCGAAAGCTGAAATATTTTGGTCAAATCAAGCGCCACGACAGATTGGAAAAAAATTATAGCAGAAGGCATGGTACCAGGGAGGAGGGGCAGGGGCCGACCGACACTAAGATGGGCACAGGATATAAGTGACTCGGGAGAACTGGCGAGAGACCGAGTTTCTTTCAAGCAGACTGTAATGAGAGCGACGTTCTGCAAAGGACCTGCTACATGATGATGACTCCAAGAACCAACGTCAAAACACTTGGGACATTCTGATGAGCGACCTATCCGCCATCTTCAGTAGCCATCACAGAATTCCAAATGCGATGAGACCGACAGCAGTGTAACTGTATAATTTTTCAGGTTCTACACGGACAGTTGTAGATTTGCCAGCTCGTGCACTTTGAACCGGCTTTGTAGACAATATAGTGTGCTAGGCTTATATTGTCTCGTGTTAAAATTGTTATACATGTTAAGACGTGTGTGACACTCTGTGTATTTAACAACAACAATACAAAAACTATATGGCGTTTACTGTTGAGTTATGTCTTCTATGCTTATGTCTAGGAAAAGATGTACACATATGGTTTATACTCTGTGAGTTTTATCTCATGGTGACGTTATTAAACAACCGGTTTGCTGTAAATATGAATGTTTTCTATGTATATGGATTTTAGCTCCATATTGTAGAGCACGAAACATGTGACCCTTTGCATGGATTATTTGTGATTAAACGACTTTAGTTAGTTGTCGCGTGTGGCCCTCACGATAACACATAGATGACCCACATGGCATTCGGGGACAGTCAGTTTGACATGCCAGCTACAACCATTGGGATCTTAATGGATGACGAGGTCAGTACCACGTCTGTCACTTTTATTTCACACGACATTTCTAAACCCTTTTTTTATATCCAGACTCAGCTAGTGGGATCTCGTTTTTAAATTATTATTTATTTATTTATTTTTTTTTTTACGTATCCAGAAACCATGAGTTGTAAACCCTTTGGCTCAGTACTATGGATATCGCAACCCTTCGGCCTTGATTCCATTATAGGTACCGTTAATCTGGGAGAAATGTGGCTTTTCTGCCTACCCCCGGGAGTGAACCCGGACCACAAGGAGTTCGTCACCCGGCCGCCGCGAAAGTCAGGTTTAACCAACTTCGCTAGAGAGCCGGGCTATTATTTATTTAAGAGGCACAGCTCACGAAACACTCTTCGCACGACATACATGTTAGAAAAACAGTGTATCTATGCATCCTTGACTGAGAGAGAGAGAGAGAGAGAGAGAGAGAGAGAGAGAGAGAGAGAGAGAGAGAGAGGTGGGGTGGAGAAAGATACAGAGAGAGAGAGAGAGAGAGAGAGAGAGGGGGCGGGCTGAAACAAATACGAGGAAACAAGGGTTCGAATAGAATCAAACATCCCCGTTTTGGTTCCGGGGCCCCACTGTGAGGAAAACAAGAATAGACCCACTGCCTTCCCAACAAACATGTTGTAAGAGTCGACTAACGGGATTTCTTTCGAAGTAGGGGTTCATCTGCCTGACAGGCAAGAAACCAACAGTCTGCATGCAAATGAATAAGATTGGTTAAACGGATGTTCAGGCAC